CATTGACTTTGCTGGTCATAAGAATGCAAAAGGGGATCATGTGATCCTGGGACATCATATGAATCGGTTGCCAAACATTCAAATGTTGATTATGTGATCATAGGAATGCTGCAACAGTTGTAAATGTGAAAAATGGTCTTATTGCTGAGCACATTGTAAGCCGCCCTGAGTCTTCGGAGAAGGGCGGCATATAAATCAAATTAAAAAAAAAAAAAAAAAAAAAAAGTAACTTATTTTAGTGCTGTTGTAACTTCGAATGGTCACTAAACGAACGGTTGTACGTCAAGGACTACCCGTATTTATGGCTTTCTTTTTGTACACATTGTCTGCATTCCCGTGCATATTCTTCCATTCAATTCCACTCTTTCACATCTTATTTCCTTAAAAAAATTACTCCTCCCAGCTTTCTCTCACTTCGGGCTTCATCCCAAATAATTTCATTATTTTCATTCCATTCACTCTGCTAGAGATTTCTTGTTGATCGTTTTCACCCGCTTCCCAAATTATCTCTTGTTGCTATGAAAATCATTCTCTATTTTCTATCTTTTAATCTTAATTATGCCTTATTCTTTGACAACACTGTTTGCCGATCTATTTTTCCATACACACATTATACAACAGCTTTCTCTCATTTTCAATTTTTCAGCCAATTGTTCTTTGATGTAGTTTATCCCCCCACCCCCACTTTAACCTTGGTTTCTTTCATTTCATCATTAGAAGAGGCACAAATTTGCATGCCTCCTACTATCACAATTCCAAACATTTCTATGGGCTCTGTAACATAATGCATTCCTGTCCATTCCAAGCAGCTTCCACATCCTCCTCCCTCACGTCCACTTTCTGCTCATTTTGTAAAGGGAGGAATCAATTTTCCAACATTCTTTTCTAAGGCTCATTCCATCTCTTCCTACAGTTGTTTTACTCTCGTTATAGTTTAACCACCAAATCAGATTTATTACTACAATCAAGCATCAACCTAAGAAAGAAAATCAAACCAGAACGATAAAATTAAACAAACCCAGATTGTCAAATTTGTCAAATTTGTAGGAATGGTTGCCATGTTTTCACTGCAGCTGCCCAGGATTTGAGTCCTGGGTTGGTGATGATATTATATATGGCTAAATTATACAGTGTTTTCTAGAAAATAAGATCGGGTCTTATATTAATTTTTGCTCCAAAAGACACATTAGGGCTTATTTTCTGGTTAGGTCTTATTTTTGGGAAAATACGGTACTAAATGCATCCATCTGACTGACAATCTTAACTGGGGCTTATTTTGGGGGTAGGGCTTATATTACGAGCATCCTAAAAAAACATGCTAGGACTTATTTTCTGGTTGGGTCCTATTTTCAGGGAAACAGGGTGTGTATATATATGTGTGTGTGTGTATGTGTGTGTGTGTGCATATGTATGTATGTATGTATATATATATATATATATGTGTGTGTGTGTGTGTGTGTGTGTGTGTGTGTGTGTGTGTGTGTATCTTTATCAGCAAAATATAAATTTGGTATAAAATGGTTTGTCGTGAATGCAACTGCTTGAGGGCTCCTGGATTGGAGCTGAAGGGCGAAAGGGAGCAGAATGCCCCCTCCCACATATTGGGGTAGACCAGGTGTCTCGATAGAAAAACACTTAATATATGTGTGTGTGTGTGTGTGTGTGTGTGTGTGTGTGTGTATAAATTTAATGCATCTTCCCTAGGAGATGTTGCAGCAAAGATAGAAGGTAATATTTTTGCAACTTTCCTTATAAAATATGTAACAAAACAATGCTTGCTGTATCGTTTCTATTTTCACAAAGACCCATGAGGAGAAGCATTCTGTTAGTGGGGTTTACATAAAGTACTAATGTTAATGGAAGCACATTGAGCCTGCTTCTAAAAAATTTTTTTTAAAAAAATATGTAGACAGTTTACAGATTGCCAAATGCCTTTCACTATGAAACACTCTGCTGTTTCATGAGAGGGCACCAAAGTCCATGTGATAATCCTCAGTTATTAACAGTCTCATTTAATGGCCATTCAAATTTACAATGATGTAAACAAAAAAAAACCCAGTTGAATGGCCAGTTCTCATATTTACAGCCATCTCAGTGTCCAATGGTCATATAATCGCCCTCTGGGCACTTCATAATTGACTTCTGACAAGCAGAGACAATAGAGAAGCCAGCAGTAAAACTGTTAAGTTGTGGTCACATGATGTCTTGCTTAATGACATGATTTGCTTAATGACCAAATGGGAAGTGATATAAACCAACCAACCAATCAGAATAGAGCTGGAAGGGGACTTCTTCTGCTCCAACCCTCTGCTCAAGCAGGAGACACTATACTTGACTTACATCAGTTCATTTAGTGACTGTTCAAAGTTACAACAGCCCTGGAAAAAGTGACTTACGACCGTTTTTCACACTTATGACCTTTGCAGTATCCCCAGAATCATGGGATCAAAATTCAGATGCCTGGCAACTGACTCATATTTATGACATCTGCATTGTCCTGGGGTCATATGATCACATTTTGCGACTTTCTGACAAGCAAAGTCAAATGGGGGAGCTAGATTCACTGAACAACTCTGTGACTAATTTAACACCTGCAGTGATTCACTTAACAACTGTTGCAAGAGAGGTCTTAAAATGGTGCAAAACTCACTTAACCAATGTCTCACTTAACAACAGAAATTTGGGGCTCAATTGTGGTCGTAAGTCGAGGATTACCTGTACCATCATGTTCATGTGATTTTCCACTTAGCAATTATAGAGTTCAATGATCCAGTTGCTGGTCCTAACAGGTCACAAAGTGAAGACTACCTCCATTCAATATCATCCAGTCTTTGAAGGACTACGCTTTTGGCCTGGTTAAAAGCAGAAGATAGAAGTTTGCAAAGTTGCAATCTTCGAGCACTTCGATCTCTGATTCCTTACTAATATCCATGGTGACTTGCAGTTTCTTTTACAATTTTCTTTTTTCTTTTTATGTCTATATTTTTCCCAGGATCCACTCTTGAACACTGCCATATTTCACATTCAGATTTTCTCATTAGCCTGCTATCAATCCCAAATTCTTTCTGCCTTTCATTATAAACAATCAGATCATATTTCTGCCTTTCACTATAAACAATTACACTTTTCAATTCCTTTTCCATGTAGATGTACTAGATGTAAACTATGTTCTGAGCAACTATTCATCAAACCGTCACTATTTAGAAAATCCTACATAGGCATTTAAAAAAAAATAATTCCATGCATTTTCTTAAAACTGTACACTGATGTAGAAATTGGACAAAACTGATGAAAAGTGAAGTGGTCAGAAGTTCAAAATACCGTACCAGAGATAGAACTAGGGACTTTTGCACGGCTAGAGTTATATATTGCTAGTGCTACCAGATTTGGGGCTGTAAAAAAACTGGATAATCATCGGAAGATAGGAAAGATTCCTGTGGTTCACTTTGTTTCCATCTAGTGGTCATCCAGATTTTATCATCCAGATGTGGTAGGCCCAGATATTTTAAAGAGCTATAATTGTTTAATAAACCATATCGCTTGAACTTGTTTAGAATAGTAAATCGTAAGGCAGATTTGGGCAACCCATAGTCTGCTTTCTCCTGTCTGGCACCTCCTTTTTAGCCTCCTGAGCACCTTTAGATGTGGCAGATTCTGGGTGGGGGAGGGGGAATTAGTATATATAAGAGGATTAAAGGGCAAAATGCTTGGCTTAAAACATACATTTCATTGCTTGGAAAATCCCACCTCGCAAAAAGAGGGGGTAATTTCATATATGTTGTGTTTGGGATTTTAACAGACAAGCAGTGTTTTAAGTTTCAACCGCAGACATCTGATATTTGAGGGGTAACTGGGCCCATCCCTCCCTGCAGATGTTGGGTGGCCAAAAAAATCAAAGCGTGAGTACAAAAAAAATCTAGCTACACCTACCATACTTAATACAGGTAGTCCTTGACTTATGACCACAATTGAGCCCAAAATTCTGTTGCTAGGTGAGACAGTTAAGTGAGTTTTGTTCCATTTTATGACCTTTCTTGTCATAGCTTTTAAGCAATGGGTTTCCCCATTGATCTTGCTTGTCAGGAGGTCGCAAAAGGTAAATCACTTGACCCCGGGAGACTGCAACCGTCATAAATATGAGTCAGTTACCAAGGGGATGCCATAATGATCATGCGTGAATAAGAATTATAAATCACTTTTTTCAGTGCTGTTGTAACTTTGAACAGTCACTAAATGAACTGTTGTAAATCAAGGACTACCTGTACCCAAACTGCATCGAATGTGGAGATGTATTCTCTATTATCCTGTATGTTCTCTGGATTTCTCTTCTTTCTAGCATCCATAAAGTGCCTGTTTGTACAATTGTGGGATTCCTCCTAAGATTCAGCAATTTAACCGTGCCTGCTCTCTGTTAATATTATGCGGCTTTTCCCTCTCCTTTCTCTTCCCCTTCTAATTCATGGGTGTTTACAGTACATTCATCATTTGACATTTATTTTAATGCCATTGTTGTACTTCATTTTCATTTTGTAATCAGCTTTGAAAGGATTATCTCGAAAGTATCACAACACCACATTAAATGAATAAACCATAATCTGCAAGCCACAACAGCAGTCCATACAACCACTCAGCCAATGGTGAAATCCAAATTTTTTTATTAGGATACTGCAAAATCTCCATTCCCACCCCACTCCAGGGAAAGGATACTGCAAAATCTCCATTCCCACCCCACTCTGGGGCCAGCCAGAGGTGGTATTTGCCAGTTCTCCGAACTGCTCAAAATTTCCGCTACCGGTTCTCCAGAACCTGTCAGAACTTGCTGGATTTTACCCCTGCACTCAGCCCATACAAACCACAGTACTTCAACCTTCCTAATTTGTGTAAAGTCAGCCTCAAGCACTGGACTACATGCAGTCCAGCCTCCCCATTTGTGCTGGGTCTCAGCTCATGTTGTAAAAAACACCAAGCATGCTAAGTGATCTTTATTAATAGCCACTTACTTGGATAGTCACCAGCCTTACTACAGCAGGTTTGATTTCCAAGCATTTATGCTTTGAACTTCAGGTTGAGCAGAATTAAAAATACAAGCGACATTTATCTCTGGCCATGCCATGCCAGATCCTCACAGCATCTCCTTGTTGAGACATAGCTTTAAAAAGAAAAAGAAGAAAGAGGCCTAAGAGACAATTCACAGAATATAACATAAATAGGGCATCAGCCTGGCTGTCCATGTTTATTGGCATTAAATGCAGTTGTTAAGCTCCTGCTTTTTCATCCTAGCTTCTTCCACAAAAAACACCCCACTGCTTAATGCGAGTATTACGACTTCCCATTCAACTGCTTACTCCCCCATCTACCCATTAAAAGCAAGTTTTGACTTCCTGCCCAGACTGGCTAAAAGGCCCGTCTGTCATTCAAGGTTTAGAAAACATTTGTCCAGAGAAGCAATAAAAACCCTCTCGGATTGTTTCTCCATTGCCCTATTAGGAATAGGTCCAGCCACATAGTAAATAATAATGGTCCCCAAACCAGACAATTTTCTCCTCTTCCTCCCATCCATAATTTTCCCCCTAGCAAGAAGAAAAAACACCAAAAAGCAGCAAAAACTGGAAATTTGCATCTAGCGCACACCATCAAGCTTCTTAGACCATGCAAACACAATCTGACTTCTGAACAAGAGTGTGCAAATTTATTTATAGATGACCATGTTGTTAATGGACTTTCACATGGCCTAGAAATGTGAAATTTGATACAAAAGAAGCTACAGTGAGATCACCAAACAACGCTAAAAATAAAGACCATTTCCCATTTTTGTTCTCCTTGGCTTTTCAAGTCTTTGATTTTATCCCGCTTTTGTCTTTCCGGTGCTTTTTAGTTTATTTATATTGATGCTATAGCTATTTATTTTATCAGCGTTAGCTGCTCAGAAAATAAGCTTTCTGGATGTCCAATATAAATGCTGTGAAGAAATGTTTTGTTAGAGAAAAGGGAAGATGTAAACACTCAGACAGATTTTACACTTTCAGTTCACCAAAATGGTAAAAACGCATAGATTGAAAATCAATTGCTAGAAATAAGCAGTCATTAAGCATGACATTTATCTTCTAACACAGGGGTGTCAAACTCAATTTCATTGAGGGCCAGATCAGGGTTGTGTTTGACCTTAGGGGGCTGGGGTGGGTGTGGCCAGCTTGATGTCACTCGTGTCGGGGGGGGGAGTTGCCTGTGGTGGCCCGAGCACTCTGCCAGCAAAAACAGGCTCCCGAGCTCTGTTTTCGTTGGCAGAGAGTTGCAGGAGGCCATCCCAGCCGAAAACAGAGATCGAGAGCCCTTTTTCACTGGCAGAGGCACCACGGGCTGGTCCTTCGCTGTTTTCAGAGTGGCCCCACGGGCCAGATCTAAGCACTAAACACAGCTTGCAAGGGGTTTTCCTCAGGAACTAGGCTACTCTTCAAATTTGAATTCTGCTACCTTGTTGTTTTAGAAAATCTACATATCTTCTAGGATCAGTGAAGTACATTTTTAGTCAAATCAGCTTTAGACGCAGAGGAATGTACAGGTGTCTATGTAAGTTGATCCAATTAAATCCATAATAAGACTGTTAAGGGTAGAAATCCAGTCAAACCAGTATTTAGCAGCATAGCAATCGTAAGTCTATCACCCTGCAGAAAACATGTCTGGTATCTCCTATTCAGTGCCCACTGTGGGCAGAAACACAAGGGAGAAGGTTCTATGCAACACTGGGAAACTTTAGGCAAATATAATCTTGCCATTGCATCATTACAGAGGCAGTGCCTTGATGTAGGAAATTCAGTTACATTAAGCGAAAGGAAGCAAGGCTGCACTAATCTGCAGCAATATAACAAAGAGCAAATTACACAAGCACATTGTAGGACTTTGAAATATCTCAGAAAGCATGCATTTCCAAGGGTATCCCTATTGCCACAATTCCCTGATTTAACCCCAACACCTGCTCCTCTTTTTGAAAGCTCTTGCAGTTCAGTTTCTGAAGCATCGTCCCCTTGTGTTACCTAGTCCCTGTTATGAACTAGAAGGCAACCAATAAGGTTTTGTTTTCTAACCATTCAAAGCAGGGGTGCAAACCTTTGCTCCCTCCAGTAGCTTGCAGATGTTCTCACTTTGAGATATTACTTAATGAGCTGGCAGAGGGGAAATTATGAGGTGCATTTAAGTCCCTGGCATTTAATTTTAATTACACGCATACTTCAATTTTTACAGTGTTCACTTCAGCCCTCCACCCGTCAATCAAAGTGTGGCTTTGGGTCCCACTGAAGGCTGTTCAAGATTAAAGGATTTGATATGACATTTAGAATTGATAAAAACACACGTGCTTGGTTTGTATGCATTCCCCCAGATTCATTTTGGCAGCTCCCTTGATTCTCCAGTATTGTGCTGCTGAAATCCAGGGGCACAAGTGTCATTGTTTGGGGTTGGTCTCCTACTATACTATAATAGGAGACTATGTATAATACTGCCCTGTATTCCACATCTGTTACAGGATCAATTTTTAAAATGCTGATGTACAAAAAGTTACATCCAAATGAAATTTTATGACAGGTGTTTTTAAACCATGGTTTATTGAATAAGCTACAAAGGCCTGGCTTACACATACCAGTAAGCTTTAATAGGAAGGATTTATATATCATACTAAGCCCAAACAAATCACATTATGGTTTAGTGTAAAAAGCAAATCATCTGTAATTCAAAGGATAGGATTTTTTTTTCACATACTAAGGGGTGGTTTCTCACAGAAGAGGTCACTTTTTGCTACTAATGGTAGCAAAAGTATCTTCATGGGACTCAAAAAATCATCATTATCTGGGTTCAAAAAGGAAAACAATCAATGCCAAGCAGTTTCTGGTTAGTTGCTGGAGAAGACTCCTGCGAGTCCCTTGGATTGCAAGGCGATCAAACCGGTCAGTCCTAGAGGAGATCAACCCTGACTGCTCTTTAGAAGGCCAGATCCTGAAGATGAAACTCAAATACTTTGGCCACCTAATGAGAAGGAAGGACTCACTGGAGAAGAGCCCAAGGCTGGTAAAGATTGAGGGCAAAAGAAGAAAGGGACAACAGAGAACGAGGTGGCTGGATGGAGTCACTGAAGCAGTAGATGTGAGCTTAAATGGACTCCAGAGGATGGTAGAGGACAGGAAGGCCTGGAGGAACGTTGTCCATGGAATCGCAATGGGTCGGACACGACTTCGCAACTAACAACAGCAAAGCAGTTTCTATCAAACAATTGTGATTAGTGTCTCCAATATAGTCTGGATCACCAACTATTTTAAGAACCACCAGCTCAAGAAAGACCGTTCTCCAACGCCGATGAATTTCAAAAGACCTTGGCCATATATAGCTTAATACAAGAAGTAACCTCTGAATGAATGACGTCAAATCATTGTTAGTCTGTGATTCTGTGTTATGCAGTGCTATTTCCAGATCTTTAAGATATTTGCACATTTTGGATCCCTTCCCTACCGACAGAAGCAGGCTTCTATTTCCTACTTGATAGAACCTTCTACTAAATTAATAACCCATTCTGAATTACAACCCAGGGCAATGTTGATGACTCAGCCTATGCCTGTACAACTTGAGCTGCATAAATCTTTTGAAAGGGGGGCTTCAGAATGTCAAGACATGTAGCTGCTTCAGAAGTGATTTCCTGATGTCCGCAGAGGTGATCTGCATTTGTAGAGATAGCATGAAGCAGCTTCTGAAACAGTTTTGATTATTTTATAAAACTAGTTAGTTTAGTTTTCATTATTTCATTAAACCTGTAAAACTATTATGCTTTAATTGTTTGAAAGGAGGTGCTTACATGCACTTTTAAACGTGCTAAAATTTTGTCCTACTGTCAAGTGGTATACATATGTGTCCTAGAAGGTGCCTGATCAGATTGTTCAAGATTAATTTTTATTTCCTTCCTTGGAAGCTAGTTACTCTCCTAAAAATCTTGTGAGATGCAACTGTGTTGTCTTTAAGCAGTTGGTAGAAAGTAAACACCAGATCTCGCAAAGGTTCCAGGGAATTGCTTTGCAATAAATGGCATATAAATTCAATAAATGAAATAAATTATATTTTCAACAGTTAAAGATGATAAGACGAGAAAATTAAGCCTATGTTCCATCTGATCCTGTTTTTAAAAATGAAATTGACCTTTTCTGATTTCCCTCTTCTAGAATCTTTTAATAAATTGAATTGGATCCTAGTATTTTAGTCCTTGTTTCCAGTCTGACATGTATGAAAGATTGATGGTGGGGTTCGATTCTTAAGGGAAAGAAAAGAAAAGCCCTGGAAAAGATGTACAACTTCTGATGTGCCCAGGTTGTGAAGTTTACTTCTTGCTGTAAATGACATACATGATAGCATTGTATTTATCTCTGAAATGTGATAAGGGGTCTCTGACTGTCTGTCCTACTGCACAGGGCTGAACATGCATAGGCCTTGGTGCAGGATTGGTCATACAAGTAGGCCTCGACTTACAACAGTTCATTTAGTGACCATTCAAAGTTACAACAGCACTGAAAAAGGTGACTTAGGATCATTTTTCACAGTTACAACCTTTGTAGCATCCCAATGATCGTGTGATTAAAATTCAGATGCTTAGCAATTGGTTCATACTTAGGATCATTGCTGTGTCCTAAGATCACGCGATCACCTTTTGCAACCTTTTGGCAAGCAAAGTCAACAGGGGAGCTTAACAACCGGGTTTCTAATTTATCAACTGCAGTGATTCACTTAACAGCTGTGGCAAGAAAGGTTGTAAAATGGGGCAAAACTCGCTTAACAAATGTCTGACTTAACAACAGAAATTTTGGGCTCAATTCTGGTCGTAAGTCGAGAACTACCCGTACTGTGTTCTGACAAAAGCTTAGGTTTCTATTTGATAGAATTTTATGAGATATTGCGGGGATGATTCAATTCAGACACAGCCATTTTTTTTTTATCACTAGAGGTTTACCTCTTGTTCAAAGGTTCCAGGATTTTTTTCCCCTTAACTAAAAGACTTCACAGAGAGAAAGCTGCTGTTTTGTTGATTACAGCTCCCCTCCCTTCATCTCTTTCGGGCCCCAATGCATTTGCCCTAAACCAGTGTGGAATTCAAATTTTTTGACTACTGGTTCTGTGGGTGTGGCTTGGTGGGCGTGGTGTGGCTTGGTGGGCATGGCAAGGGAAGGATACTGCAAAATCCCCATTCCCTCCCCACTCCGGGGGAAGGATATTGCAAAATCTCCATTCCCACCCCACTCTGGGGCCACCAGAGGTTCTCCGAGCTTCTCAAAATTTCTGCTACCGGTTCTCCAGAACCTGTCAGAACCTGCTGAATAGCACCCCTGCCCCAAACCCTCCAGACTCAAATCTATACAAATATCCAGAAGTAAAGTGTTAAATAGAGGAAGTTGTAATATTTTCTTACTTGGGACTGTGATTGCCTACTCCAGAAGCTAAGCAGCAGCACCAGGAAGGCAAAACAGGCAACCCTAAAATCAATCTAGATCATTAGCAGCTATTCCATTATGTCCACCTCTGGTTGTTGACTTTAAATTGTCTATGAAAATGGTCTTTCAGTAAAACTACGTCCCTAGAAGCTCAAACCAGCCACTCAACTTCTATTGAGCCAAAATAGATTTCATATCAAAGTTACACCTGAGCAGATTTTGGACCAAAACAAGTAGTTAAGATGTCATGCTAAAATTTGGGATTAAAGATTCCAAATTAAAATCCCCATATAGTGATCAGATTCTGACACCATTACAGTCATCCTTCCCTAAAAAGGCATAAATTAGGGAGTGAAAGAGGATTACCCACCCTCTCCGAGCTTCTTGGCGGGGGGTGTGTGTGTGTGTCTCAGGTGAGTAACAAAATTAAAATGAATATCAGAAGAATCCTGACACAGAGGTACATAGAATTAAGATCCTTGTAGTCATGTAGCCATGAAGAGGTTAGCTGAGGAATATGAGTATGTTATGTTGTTTCTTCTGTTATGTTTTTTCCTTTCTTCTGAATGTTCCCCGATGTAATCTAAAATTCTAGACCACTTAACTATCTCAGCTTGCACTGCCAAATCATTAGGCCGGTCTAATATTAATTTAGTGGCTCTATCAAGTAGGAAATAGAAGTCTGCTTCCATCAACGATAGGGAAGAGATACAAAATGAGCAGATTTCTTAAAGATCTGGAGAGAGCCAGTTTGGTCTAGAGCAGGTGTGTCAAACTTGCGGCCCACAGGCCAGATGCATCACGCGTTAGCCACGCCCACTCCCGGTTTAGCAAAGGGGAAAAAAGTCCCGATACGTCACGTGACACCACCACGATGACGTGAGTTTGACACCCCTGGTCTAGAGGTTAAGGCACCAGGCTAAAAAGTGGGAGACTGTGAGAGTTCAAGTTCCGCTTTAGCCATGAAAGGCAGCTGAGTCACTCTTTCTTAGTCCAACACACCTCACAGCAGATGTGGGTTTCAGCAGGTTCAGACCAGTTCTGGAGAACCGGTAGCGGAAATTTTGAGTAGTTCAGAGAACCGGTAGTAAAAATTCTGACTGACACCACCCCCATCTATTCTCTGCCTCCCAAGTCCCAGCTGATCAGGAGGAAATGGGGATTTTGCAGTAACCTTCCCCTGGAATGGGTTGGTAATGGAGATTTTATAGTATCCTTCCCCTGCCACGCCCACCAAGCCACACCCACCAAGCCACACCCACAGAACCGGTAGTAAAAAATTTTGAAACTCACCACTGCCTCACAGGATTGTTGTTGTGGGGAAAATAAGAGGAGGAAGGTGTATTGGATATGCATGTTCGATATGTTCACCGCCTTGAGTTATTCATAAAAATCGTAAATGTAGAATACAAATAAATAAATAAAAATCTTCTACTCGTATGATAGTAGAAAAAGGGATTTCTCTGATCTGCATTACGGCACTGATGCATATATGAGGATCTAGTGGTTGGAGCTCTCCCAGTTGGGCCATACTGACACAGGGTACAGCAGCAAGTCCCAAAGAAGTACAGGTACTCCTCGACTTACAACAAGTTCATTTAGTGACCATTTGAAGTTAAAACAGCACTGAAAAAAGTGACATGACTGTTTTTCACACTTAGACCACTGCAGTATCCCCACGTATCCTCAAGTGATCAAAATTCGGACGCTTGGCAACTGACTCATATTTATGACGGTTGCAGTGTCCCCGGGGTCATGTGATTCCTTTTTGCAACCTTCTGACAAGCAAAGTCAAAGGGGAAGGCGGATTCACTTAACAGCTGTGTTACTAACTTAACAACTGCAGTGATTCCCTTAACAACTGTGGCATGAAAAGTCATAAAATGGGCAAAATTCACTTAACAAGTGTTTCTCTTAGCAACAAAAAAATTGGGGGCTCAACTGTGGTCGTAAGGGGAGGACTGCCTGTAGTGGTGGTTGGAGGCTCAACCTTACCCATACTGGTTTAGGAATTCTGGGAATTGCAGTCTCAATAGACTGGGAGGGACAATCTGTTGGGAAGACTGCTATGTTTTTTTCAGTGGTGACACCCTAATTGAGAAATTGGACAACTAGGATAAATGTTTAAGGAGATCCTCAATCATCCAGGTCATGTTGTCCCAAAGGTGCTTTTTCCGAGAGACAATTGGACTTTCTTTGTTTTTTCTTTGAAAACATTTCGCTTCTCATCCAAGAAGTTTTTTCTGTTTTAGTAGGTTTTCAAAGAAAAAAAACCCCAAGAAAATCCAGTTGCTTTTTGTAAAAAGCACCTTTGGGATAACTAGGTTGTGCATTTGCAGACTATTATTAGATTACTGCATTAGTTATAAAACCTACAACCCTCTTTGCTGCTGCAAGAAATCTAAAGCAGTCTAAGACCTCCTGTCTTTAGAAAACATGGGTTTCTTGCATGCTGCCCTCTTTTTTTTTTTGTTTCTTACTTTAAGAATGGATGTCGTATTTTATATAATGTAATTGATTTATCAAGCAAATTTATATAGCCATCCAACTCACATGTAGGTGACTTCATGAGTTTATTGCCATTCTATGAATCACTTGAAGAATCGGAGACATGCAACTTAGAATTATTCATTTAGTGACCGTTCGAAGTTACAAAGGCACTGAAAAAAGCAACTTCTGACCAATTTTCACACTTACAACCATTGCAGCATCCCCATGGCCACGTGATGAAAATCAAGGCAACTGGCACGTATTTATCATAGTTGCATAGTCCTGGGGTCACGTGATCACCATTTGTCACCTTTCCAGCCAGCTTCCAACAAGCAAAGTCAAATGGGAGGAAAGTCAGATTCACTTAATGACCAAATGATTCACTTAACAATTGTAGTGTGGCAAGAAAGCTCATAAAATGGGGGCAAAAATAACTTAAGTGCTATCTTGACAATTGAAATTTGGGCTCAATTTTGATCTTTAAATTGAAGATTACCTGTAATACATCAGTAGAGCACACACCTGCCTTTTCCAAAATCTGTTTGGCCCTTTTCTTTTTTTTTTAAATCTAATACCAAAAGCAAACCACTTGCCAACAGGAGTCAATATTTTCTCAAATGACGATCAATGATTCATCCACAATATGCAACAAACATTGATCCTGAAGTCCAATTTCTTTTCCCAACAGGCAATCCCCAGGCTACCATAATTCAGAAAGAGGGAAGGCAAGTTGCCCATTCCTCACTTCCCATTGCTGATCCACCCTCTCTCCAGGTTTAAGGGACAGAAAATCCTGGTTTTATTTTCTTTCTTTTTTTTATACACAGCAATAAGCTCCTTTACTTAAGAGTAGAAATGTATTCCCAAATTAAGGATTTATTTATATATCATATTTAGAGACTACCCATCTCCCTCATGGAATGACTATTAATATCACACCTGTATTATTTTCATAAATAACTCAAGGCAGTGTACATACCTAATGTTCCTTCCTCTTCCTATTTTCCCAGACAACAATCCTGTGAGGTAGCTTGAGCTGAGAGAGAGAGAGACTGTCCCAAGTTCACCCAGCCATTGTTCATGCCTAAAGCAGAACTAGAACTCACAGTCCCCGAAGACAAGAGATCTGGGAATCCATCCACAGAATCTATCCCAGTTCTTAAAAGCATCTAATTTTACCCCATCCAAGCAGAATTCCTAAATGTGGCTTTTTTCCTTTAAAAGAGAGTCAACACTCGTGATTCCTTTCCAGGGAGGAAAAGAAATCCCGGGACTCAGGATTGCAGCAAAAAGCCCCAGTGACTTCTACCTTCCATGGACGATGTTTGCATGCAGAGCACATAGGGAGACACACAAACGCGTGCGCACACATACGGTCTCTACAATGCACCGTCTTTGCATAGACCAACCAATCATATTGCCGGTCCTTTTTGCTAGTAAATAAATAATGCAGCAAGGTGCAGGTTGAAAAAGCAGGGAGGTGGGAAGTCGAAGGAAAAGATCAGGGGATTCTATAGCCTCTGAATAAAGGGGTTCCCTGCATCAGATCACCCGGCATATAAAACACTCCCTGCACAGCCAGATATACCTACAAGGAGAGGGCCAAGCCATTTTGTGGTTTCAGGCAGACAAATGAATATTGTCTCTTCCGCAGACAAGATGCATGGCAAATTATTTTAGCCCTCCCCCACATCCCCAGGCAGAAAAATCCCACAAGCAACTCCCTGGCAACTGAAAATAATCCAATAAAATCAGATAATCCCCAGTCTGGTGTCCCTTCGTGACACCCATTACCCGTTGTCTGAAAGCAGCCAGCTCAACTGCCAGAAGAAACACAGCACGTGGCTTTGGCGAGTCATTAATAAGGAAGCCCATTGATTAAAAACCGAAGGCGGGGTGGAAATGAGCAGCAGCCCCATCCGGAACCATTTACAAACCCTCCATGCAGCCAAACAATCATCCATCAGTCAAGGCAGCCATCAGGATGGGACAAATGCCATTTCTGAAGCCTGGTTGGCATCCAACACCAGCCAGCCAGCCAGCCAGCCCTTGGCACAGGTGGTAGCACAGAGAAAGGTCGAAGGGAGATCCACTCCCCACTCCCTCCCTCCCTCCCTCCCTTGCATTTTCAGATATTATTGTGAATGGATCCCCTGCCATCATTAGGACTCACCAGCTTCTCTCAGGACTTGCCCAATTCACAGAAACAGGGGAAATTATTAGCCTTCCCACCCAGGAAGATGGAAAAGGTTGATCCAGTTTAAGTGTTGTATGTGTATCCGTGTCTGTGCAAGGAATCCTGATGCTGCACGAAAGGGAGGGTAGTTGTGTGCATCTTTCTCTCTCTCTCTCTCTCTCTCTCTCACATACACACACACGAACAGGTAAACAGTTGCTATTCAAAAGCAAAGGGGGGGGGGAGAAACTAGCAACAAATCAAAATGCAAAATTACATCTCTCTTTCCCCCCCCACCCCCCCACCCCCCAAATATCCGGCTTAACTAACTACCACCTACACTCCCCAGATCCTTTAGTATTGAATAGAACAAGGGTGGGGAATGTGCAGGATGAGGGGTGCGGGGAGCGTGGCAGGTACCACCATCACCCGCTTCAATAGCTCCCACAAACAGCCACGCAACACACACACGCACACACACACGCACACCCGTGTCTGGGGAAGGGCTTGAAGAGGTTTGAAGCCGGGACCGGGAACCGACGCCCCCGTTTCAGCTCTTCCGCGGGGTGCAAAGCTTTCACTTACGGAGGAGGCGCCGCAATGGGGAACAGGTCGGCGGGAAAGAAAGAAAGAAAGAAAGAAGGGGAAACCCGCGGCTATCCAGTCCGGACACGCGTGCGACTCCCCCCCCCACCGCCCCCCACGGCCACCCGCCCCCTTTTTGCAAAAATGCGAACTGGAAGCCAAAGCGGAGAAAGCAGAGCCGGACCCGAAGGCGGGGTGGGGGTGGGGGTTGTAGCGGGGGGCCGGAGAGGACGGGGCGCAGCGCTTACCCGGCTTGGAGAGGCATGGACTGGAGAGGGGGGGTTGAGTGGGGGGGGGTTCCCGGCTCGGTCTTCCCTCAGCGGCCTCTGGGCGGAAGGACGGAGAAAAGGCGGCCGGAGAGAACCGGCCGAGCAAGCCGGAGCAAAAGCGCTCCGAGCGCCCGGGGAGGCAGCGGCAAAACGGGGCGCCTTCGTAGCCTCCCTCCGTCTCCTCCCAACTCCGCTCGGCGAAAGAGGGTTTAAAGGGACCGGCGGGCGGCGAAAGAGAAAGCGGTCACGTGACGCCAGCCCGCTTGCCGCTCCTGCTCCTGTTCCCGCTGCCTCCTTTGGTTTTTGCAAGCGGGGGGTCCTCTGGGCGTGTGCAGAGTGCCGGCTTCGTTAGCCCACGCCAAGTTTCCTTTCTTTTTTTTTTTCCCCTTTCTTTCTTTTTTTTTTTAAACGGCTGGCGACGCTTCTTAAGAGAGGCTCCCTCGCCGCGACTTAATGGGATGGAAGTGCTGTACTGAATCGTGATGATGACACACGTCACGCTCTCTGTCTCCCCCGCGGGGCTGTCTCTTCCCCGCCCTTGCCCTCCGGTGGTCGTCCGGATTTTTTGCAGCCTCGATCCGGTAGCTTTCATGCGTATACTGGCTTCAAGATCCTGGAGGAAGGGTTTGTGTGGGAGTCTTGACAAAGAGATACGTGTTACAACCGTAGTGGGTTTCCAATTTTTTTTACTACCGGTTCTGTGGGCGTGGCTTGGTGGGCGTGGCATGGCTTGGTGGGTGTAGCAAGGGAAGGATACTATAAAATCTCCATTCCCTCCCCAATCCAGGGGAAGGTTACTGCAAAATCCCCATTTCCTCCAGATCAGCTGGGACTTGGGAGGCAGAGAATAGATGTGGGCAGGGCCGGTCAGAATTTTTACTACCGGTTCTCGGAACTATTCAAAATTTCTGCTACCGGTTCTCCAGAACTGGTCAGAACCTGCTGAAACCCTCCTCTGGTGTACAAACTGCAAGCATATGGGTGCCAATGGTTCTGCTCTCCTGCAGTGTGAATGGGAGTGAATTTCTCCGTTTTCAGAGGCGATGCCAACTCAACCTGGTTAACTGCTTTAGGCCACACCAGTTATCTTGGCTTCTTGGAGATGGGCCGTTGCTGCTGTTTCTGGAGATGAAGAAGACTCTCCATTGATCCCAGAGGAGCCTCGATCTCGCCTCCTGTTTCCTGGTCAACATTTCCATTCCAAATATACCGTCATTTCTGACTATTCCTTCCAGTGTCCTTGCTGAGAACTCGAGGAAACCTGATCTACTCTCTCTTTAGGAGGCGGAAGTGGCCGAGAAAAGCCAGTTTTATCCGACAGATGGTTTACTTCCTACACCCACACCAAGGTCAATATTCCAATTTTTTGGTGACACAAAAATTTCTGAAGACACAATAAAAGGAGCTGCCATCTGGTCGGCCTCACATCAGCCAACAATTTAAACCTCGTGGTTGAAACCAAACCTGCTTCCTACTTACATGAGTGCAGAACAGATGCAAACTTCATGGACCCAGTTGAGCAAACTGTGAACACAGATTTGCTCAACCTGGTTCCCAGGAACCTAACCACCAGTTGATGTACCGTATTGGGAGGAAATGTGTTGTAGAGTCTTGTGGTGGGGTGATTTGTGTTCATGATGTAGAACATGATGGCCAACCTAGTTTGCCCCAAATACATTGGACCTCAATTCCCAGAATCCCTAGTATCAAAACTGGCCATAATAGCTAGAAATTGGGGCAGTTAAATTTTAATACAGGTAGCCCAGGGGTGAAATCCAGCAGGTTCTGACAGGTTCTGGGGAACCGGTAGTGGAAATTTTGAGTTTTTCAGAGAATCGGTAGCAGAAATTTTGAGTAATTCAGAGAACCGTAGCGGAAATTTTGAGTAGTTCAGAGAACTGGCAAATATCACCTCTGGCTGATCCCAGAGTGTGGTGAGAATGGAAAATTTGCAATATCCTTCCCCCAGGAGTGGGGAGGGAATGGGGATTTTGCAGTATCCTTCCCCTGGAATGGGGTAGAAATAGAGATTTTGCAGTATCCTTCCCCGCCACGCCCGCCAAGCCACACCCACAGAACCAGTAGTAAAAAAAATTGAATTTCACCACTGAGGTAGTCCTTTACTTACGACCGCAATTGGGACCAGAATTTCCATTGCTAAGCAATTGTTAAGAGAGTTGTGCCCAATTTTGCAGCCTTTTCCCCACAATTGTTAAACCCAACTATCATAAATACATTTTTATTGTGTGACCATAGGACCATTGCGATGGTTATAAGAACGAGGAGTGGTCATATGTAATTTTTTTCAATGTCATTGTAACTTCAGATGGTTGCTAAATGAACAGTTGTAAGTCAAGGACTACCTGCACATTTGGAGAGCACCATATTAAGGAAGATTGGCATAGAAATTCCCAACCCTGCCCAAAGAATAACAGTGGAATAATGGGATAGATCTGCATACCTGTATGTAAAATAAAAAAGTACTGTAGATAACTCCAGATCACTTAGGACAGGGCTGTCAAACTCCCTAGATGCATTACATGCTAGCCACCCCCTGCCCAGTTTAGTGAAGGGGAAAAGTCCCAATACATCATATGACGCCGCCGTGACTCCATGAGTTTGACACCCCTGACTTAGGACAACAATTTTGTTTCCTAAAATTTAAATGCATAATTACAATTTTAACAGTTGTGACTTCTTCAGCAGGACTGCAACATGAAGAGCAGCTGATCCTAGTCTTAAGTGGGTAGAAATCAAGAAGGGGATGGGAGACTGCATTAAAAGCTCTGATGGAGGATGAAACCTGGGCACTAAAGAGGAATGGACATGCTTTCAGGGGATGGAAGGCAGGCCTTTTCAAAATGTCTGGGAGGACCACAAATAGGTTAAGTTAATGGTCTAGCGAGGTTATACCAGTGGAGTGTGATACTCAAGGGAAACATTTTGAGAAGTGGGGGGGTTGGATTTCCTCTCATTAAAAGCATTGAGTTTTGACAGCACAGCGTTGGGGTCAAGGGTTACAAAATAGTGGTTTGTTGTCCGTATTCAGCTGATGGGCTCCGGCTTGCTCTACCCCAGGGGTGTCCAACCTTAACCATTTTAAGACCTGTGGACTTCCAGAATTCGCCAGCCAGCTATGCTGGTTGGGGAATCTTGGGAGTTGAAGTCCACAAGTCTTAAGGTTGCCAAGATTGGACGCCCATGCTCTATTTATTGGCTGTTTTCAAGCAAATACACTTAACAAGGAGAGAGTGATCTAAGGCTTCAGATTGTTATTCCTATCAGCCACCCAGGTTGCAATCAGACACCTGCATGCTAGGATTTTATTAGCATATATTTGCTGCTCAACTACCATCCCAACCAACAAGGAACACTTTAATTGGAAATCAGGAGGCACTTTCATGTCTGAATCACTTTACGGTATTTTTATTTTTTTTATGTCTGAAGAACATGCTACCTTTCTGGAAGAGATATAAATTAGATTTTTATTTTTTTTTGCCCAAGAAATCTTGATATTGTCTCTGCAGAAAACAAACATTTGTTATGGTTTTTATCCTGCCTATTTTGGACCAATTAATGCAAGAGAATCTGGAATTGCTTCCACTTTATGGAAATACTAATAATGTAATTGAATGTAATCTAGTTTTGTCTGTTTTGGCCATTCTGCAGAATCCAAACCAGAGCATTTTCTCTTTTTGATTCCTGATTCTTTTAACTTGGAGGATCCAAGGATTAGAAGCCCGATCTTCAGTACAATTTAGGGTCTTAATTGTCAGAATAACAGATTACAGAGTTGGAAGGGACCTTGGAGGTCTTCTAATCAACCCTATACCATTTCAGACAAATGGTTGCCCAATCTCTTTTTAAAAACTTCCAGTGTTGGAGCACCCACAACTTCTGGAGGCAAGTTATTCAAGTAATTGTCAGGAAATTTCTCCTTAGTTCTAGGTTGCTTCTCTCCTTGACTGGTTCCGTTGCTTCTTGTTCTGCCTTGGAGAATAGGTTGACTCCCTATTCTTTATGACAAACCCTTAGATATTGGAGCTGCTATCATGTCAACCAGTGGTGGGTTGCTCCCGGTTCGGTCCGGTTCTTGCGAACCAGTAGTAACAGCGGCGGGAGGCTCCACCCACCTGCCTGGATGTCATCATGAACAATCTGCACATGCGCAGAAGCTTCTGTGCGTGGGCGCTCCCGTTGCAAACTGGTAGCAGAGGTAAGTAGAACCCACCTCTGATGTCAACCCTAGTCCTTTTCATTAAACTACACATACGGATATAAGTATAGTTAGTCCTCCCTTAACAGTGGAAATTGGGCTCAGCAGCTCCATTGCTAAGTCATGCAGTCATCAAGAATAATATGTGAACACAC